AACAAAGTTTAATGTTTTAACTGTCGCCAAAGCGATTATAGCAGTAATTGGTATATATCTTCGACCAAGAATTTATGAATTCGATCTTACTCTCTCATGTATACTAAAAAAACTAAAAAAATTGTCTATTTTTCATCTGATTATTCATTTAATATTTAAAATTTTGGACTCTATATTTGATCTATAAACTTTACATTCATTAGGTTTTTCAATAAATTATTTAATATACAAATTTTAATGGGTGACAATTTACTTTACCATATATGTAAGCAAGATTAGTATATTTTGTAAGCAAGATTAGGATTTTGTAAATATGACAAATTTTGAACGATTGTGGATATATATTTAAATATTTTAAATTTTGTATATCACTCATTTACATTTATTTACCCAACATTTGTTGATAATGTCCATTAATAATAGTCTATATAGACTGATAGATGTTTTAAGGTTATTTTAGTGGTGGGCGTTTGGATTTGATTTTTTTACTATATTTGATCCAATTATTAATTGCACTTGTTTTACCATAGATGCAACACTTGTATAGTAAATATTTAGTATAGAGTCAATATCAGTATAGCTCAGATATCTTGCTCATTTTTTAAAGGTTGAGAGTTCAATATCTCATCCCTACATTTGTTATATTCCTAAATAAAAAAATATTGACATAGAGATATTTTTTGTTTATTTACTTAGATCGATACAAGTATTCAAGATTACAAACGAACAATTTATTCGACACATCTATTCTAATTTAGATTGTATTACATATCTAGCACACAAATAAACTTTTCCATTATAAATATTCAAAACAACCCAAAGAAATCCTCCATCCCCACCAAACCCATGAAGGAAAAATGTTTAGATAAATGGATCATGACGTTGACATATTTGTAATGATTATTAATAACATAACTCAATTAATTAAAATATTTATTGGAAAGGCGTGAGTTGAAATCATGAGAACTATTCTTCAATTTGAGAGAGAAGATAAGACATTGAGAAGCGAAAAAGACCACCCTAGAAATTCCTATAGCCACCTTTATGTGAAGAGATACCTTTGAACCTTTATCACCTACCTAGATTAATTTTAAGAATAATCTAATTTTAAAAACAAATTACAAAAATGATACATAGTTAAAAATAATAACAAACTAAATGTAATTTAAATAACAAATTACAAAATTAAGGTAGGTATTTAAACTATTGACGAAAATAGGTTAAGTGTTGGTCAAAGTAAATAACGCCTACAAGATGCAGTTTTTACAGAATCACGTAGGACGTACTCAATTTTCTTAAAATATTTTCTAATATATATATATATATATATATATAGTTTTTTTATGTTGTTTTTTTATTTATTTTAAAAATAAAATATCATTTATTTTATTAGTAGTTTAACTATTTTGAATATCTATACTATATTAAAAATGGACCATCCTAGAAAAACATTTTTAGACTAATATGACACTCTTTCAAATTTTAAATTACTAGACGTGCCATTACTAATTAATTTTAAATAATCAATTTCTTTAAATATAATAAATTAATTAGTTAATAAAAACTATATGGAATATAAAATGTTGACATGCAAAAGATTTTTCCTACCAAATTTAATTAGTTAATAATTAATTATCAATAATACTAAATATATGGAAGAGAAAAGGTTGGAATAGGAAAGGTCTTTTATACAACTTTAAAAAATCATTTAATTATAATTTATAATTGAATTTCTAACGTTTTATAACTTTTAACCCTCTATTACTCTATAAATATGAGTTTTCTTCTACAATTTTGTTCACAAACACCTAGAGATCCATTCATTTTTCTTTTTAGCGTTCTGAATTCATTGTTCTCAGAAAGTTCTTCAATCTTCAAATATGTCTCAAGATGTTGATGATATACTCAAGTTGCAAGGGAAATAGATGTTGGATTTACATCTCGAATCCTAGGCTTACTCTCATATAACTCTTAAATTTTCAAATACGTCTCAAGATTTTGGTGGTATATTCAAGTTTAAAGATTACACATTGAATCTACATCTCAGATCTTAGGTTAGTGACATTACAATTTTCACTTTGTGATATGAATCTATAGCTAGGTCTTAGTCTAATTGTTGTTATTGTTTTTTTTTCTTTTACAATTAGTATATTTTTTTATTTCAAATGTTTGGTGAACTTATTGATCATAATTACAAATTTATGTTATTTTTCCAAAAAAAAAAAATCATGTAAATCAATACCTTACAAAAAATTTAATTAATTATAAATAGTAAATTAATTAATTAATCAATTGTCAATAATATTAGGTAAGTAATCTAAAAAATTAGAATCTAATAAAGTTTTTCATTTCATTCCCAGGAACTTATAGAATTTTCAAATAATTAGTAAAATAAATTTTCATTAATGAGGTTGAAAATATATAACAAAAAAGAGACCTAAATTACGTAAAATTTATTTTTTTAAAATTAAAATATAAAAATACTTATATATTTTCAATTGTTATATTAAAAATAATGTCATTAAAAATGTTGTACAGAGATAATGCAACGTATATACATCTAAGATATTAAGTGAATGTAATATGAAAAGTTAGAATATAAAAAATTTTGTATTCATTTACGTAAATTAATTGTATAATTAAATATTTATATATAACAATATTTAATGGTAGAATATCAAAGTTTTGGAACGTTAAAAGGGTTATAATTTTTTAGTTCCCTCCCATCATAGTTTTGTGTCTTCCATTCATTTCCACTAATTCTAAATAATTAAATATATTTAACATAACTATAACATTTTTATAAATTTAAATACATGCTAATTTAGTTTAAAAATTATCTTTATAATGAATAAAATCATTTTTTTATTACGTGAATGCACGCACTAGTATTAGTAAAAGTAAAGATCCACTTGCATAGATTAACGTCCAACAATTAAATATAATTTATAGAAAAAATAAAAATAAAAATATATTAGCCTAATTAATAAAAAAAATTTCACTAACGGCAACATACAAATTAAAAGGAAAAATACTTAAAATTTAGAGTAATTAGATCAGATAACAAACTTATTTTAAATTCAAAATAGGTGGTGATCATACCATTTAAAATTTTGGAGAAGAAAGTTCACTCACCAAATCATCAAAATAATAATATAAAATAATAAAACAATCAACATAATATTCCAAAAAAGTAAAAAGAAAAATATTTTGCATATTAAACAAATCTAAAATTTGTTTCAAAATAATATAGAACAGTAAAAAGAAAATAACCTTAAAAAATAAAAAATAGAAAAACATACCCAAAAAAATTAGTCTTCATCACTACATTATTTATGTAATTTTTAAAAAAAGTATATTATTTTAAAAAATCTTCAAAGTAAAAGAGAAAAATAAAAAAATATAATAAAGAACATTGGAAATGGGGAGGAAAATGCATGCATCGGTGGCAGCCACGTTACTACTTTAAAGTCGTTGCGATTTAATTCGAAGTCGTAACCCTTGAACCTGTGTTATATGAAATTGCAGTTAATGATTGTGATTTTAGGACATATTTAGTTATCTGTAATTGTAACGCAAATCAATCGTAATGAAATCAATCAGAATCGTAATATTATTCTATTGATGTTGTTTATCCTAAATATTATGAAATTGTAATCACAATTCTTTTGTTTACTAAAACTGTCTGAAATCGGAATCAGAGAATTACTAATATATCTTTTTCTTCTTTTTAACTCATTATAAATGTATTATTTGCTAATATTTTTTAAATTACAATAATAATAAATTTTAATTTTAACAATTTATCTAATATTAATATATAATGAATAACCAAAATAAAATTACATCAAATAAAATATTTTTTATTAGAACAACTTTAATATAACATATTATTTAGTTTTATTATTCTAATATTTAAAAGTAATAATATCTATTTAAAAATGTATTGATATTAATTAATATTAATTTATCATATTATATAATCAAATCAAATATAGAGTATAAAGGGAGAAGAAATTATAAAAGCATAAAAGAAGGTTAAAATATTATTTTGGCCCCTGTACTTTTAGCCTCGGTTCATTTTAGTCCCTGTACTTTGAAAATGTTCATTTTGGTCCCTATGCTTGTAAATTTGGTTCATTTTAATCAATGTACTTTGAAAATATCTGTACTTTTAAAAAGTGATCATTTTAATCAAGATTTTAACACAAACTTTACACATAACGAAAACTATTTAGTATAAAGTAATATTTACATTGTAAGAAATATATTGATTATAATGTGGTGTTGAGATTGTGATAGAAAAAGTGAGATTTAAAATAAAATGGAATGACCAGAATGGTCAATGTTTAAAAGTACAGGAACAAAAATGAACATTTTCAAAATAGGGAGACCAAAATGAATCAAAATATAAAGCATAGGGACCAAAACGAATATTTTAAAAGTATAAGAACTAAAATGAACCAGAGTTCAAAGTGTAGTGATAAAACTAGTATTTGAACCTAAAAAAACTAATTAAAAATTATATGAATCTAATCCATAGATGAAAGAGAAAAAGTAAAAGTGGTACATTAATTATTGTATATATGGGTCAACGGAATAAGAAATGAGAATGAGATTGATGATGTTGTAGGAGTATAATGAGATTACACTTTTTTATGTAATGTGATTATAAATTTTGAGACGAGTCCCACCATTCGATTACATTCGTACAATTTTATTACGATTCATTAATTACGATTGCGGGTGGGTAATTGGATCTTATTCATTACTTTTAGAATCATATTATTTTTTTTAAAACATTACTTTTCAAAAAATATTCCCACTTTTTATTTTAATAGAAAAAAGAAACATTAATTTTTTTTTTAAAAATCCCACCCTCTCTTCTTTCTCTCTCTTTTTATTTTTTATTTTTTTTATTGATAGGGAAAAAAATACAATATTTTTAAAAAAACCCCACTTACGCAAACGAATCAAGACAACGGCCTGGATGTTCGACGCTTGGTAGGGCAAAGGAGAGAATTACAGAAGAATTTTGGTTTCCTCAACCACAAATTCGAAGCTCTGCGCTCTAATTTATGGAGCTATTGAACAATCGATGTAAATCTCTCGTTTTTCAACATTCCAAAATTCTGCAGGGTCGCATACGCTTCTGATTGTACATTTTCTAGCCGTAATTTTAGTTGAATACACCCCTCATCATTCTTCACAGCTTCATTTGGAAATATTTCGGTTGCGGCAGCTTTGTTGGATTTGTGCTGCGTGTGTATTGATTCCAATGGAGAACGAACCCGAATCTGCTTCGGGACTTGCTTGGCGTTTGACCATCGAGGCCCTTGCAAGTTTCAACCAAGTGAAACCTTCTCTTTTACATGGTATTCACTATCAATTCTCAATGTGCTTTCATTTTTATTTTTGAGTGTTAGGTGTAATTTCAGCTTTCTCTTTTTTCTACGATAGATGTAATTGAGAAGGCTTCAGAATTATCTGATGATGCAAGAAAGAACGCCGGGGAAATGGTTGCTTTGAGATGCTTGGAGGGTTTGTTTGGTTCTTTGAATGATGTTAGAGAAGATAGTCCTCCTGCCCATCAGTCAAAAGTTACGTTTGATTCATCCGAGAGCTGTGAATACGTTGTTAAACGCATATATAAGGAGGTAATACTTTATATTTCTGAATTCCTATGCCCTTGAAAGCCATGTTTTTCTTAAGCAAACTGGCCCTGGTTTTTTTAATCTCTGTATCAGATAGCCACTTTCCGGCTCTCTTGAACTGGGTATACATTGAAATTGAATAATTTGTGCTGTTGTTAGACTCCAAAATCTGCCTTAAGAGTGGCTGGACCAGAAATGTTAAAATGGGATGTTAGTCCCTTTATCGCACAAAAAAGGGCATCCATGCGTTCTACATTGCATCAGGTGAAGAGAATTCAAGATTTGTCTCTACTTTATTTGATTCCACCCTCTACCCCGTGTTAGGCCATTTGTAAAGTGGTTGTCATATTTCTTGTTGAACAGCTGAAAGATACAATTCTTGATGGTACACATCCATATGTTGATTTCTTAAAGCCTAAGAGTGGGTTGGTGCCTGTAAATAAGAGGGATGGCATTGCTTTGAATAATGATGATCGTACTGAGCTCAGCAGGAGACTTGATAGTAGCTCCCCTGATTCTCAAGGTCAAAAAGAAAAAGGCAAAGGAAGTCCTCTACTTCTGGAGGATGAAAGAAGACCACCGGTGGCAGACCCATCTAGTTCTAGTTTGTTAACTTCTGAAAGGAGTAGAGCTGATCATGCATCTGAAGATGAGGCCAGCCAGTTACCTGGTTGTGATGATGGCTTCGTGAATGTTAAAAAGCCGCAGGAGAGTGGGTTGGCATCTGAAAATAATGAAAATAGTGGGGATAACACTTCTTGGAATAGTGATGATCATATCGAGCTCAACAGGAGACTTGATAGTAGCTCCTCTGATCCTCAAGGTCGAAAGGAAAAAATCAGTAAAAGCCTTCCATTTCTTGAGGATGAAAGAAGACCATCAGTGGCAGAACCATCTAGTTCTAGTTTGTTACCTTCTAAAAGGAGTAGAGTTGATCATGCATCTGAAGATGAGGCAAGCCAGTTCCCTGGTTGTGATGATGGCTTTATGAATGTTAAAAAGCTGCAGAAGAGTGGGTTGGCATCTGAAAATAATGAAAATAATGGGGATAACACTTCTTGGAATAGTGATGATCATATCGAGCTCAACAGGAGACTTGATAGTAGCTCCTCTGATCCTCAAGGTCGAAAGGAAAAAATCAGTAAAAGCCCTCTACTTCTTGAGGATGAAAGAAGACCATCAGTGGCAGATCCATCTAGTTCTAGTTTGTTACCTTCTAAAAGAAGTAGAGTTTACCATGCATCTGAAGATGAGGCAAGCCAGTTACCTGGTTGTGACGATGACTTTATGAATGTTAAAAAGCTGCAAAAGAGTGGGTTGGCATTCGAAACTAGTGAAAATAATAGGGATAGGATTTCTCTGAACAATGATGATCATATTGAGGTCAGCAGGAGACTTGATAGTAGCTCCTCTAATCCTCAAGGTCGAAAAGAAAAAATCAACGGAAGCCCTCTACTTCTTGAGGATAAAAGAAGACCATCAGGGGCAGACCCATCTAGTTCTAGTTTGTTACGTTCTCAAAAGAGTAGAGTTGACCATGCATCTGAAGATGAGGCCAGCCAGTTACCTGGTTGTGATGATGGCTATTTGAATTTGAATAAGCTTAACCAGCATTCTGCACGTACTTTGTATTCGGGGCAGGAAGTGGCTTCTTCACATGGAACAGAGTTGTTAGAAGATTCAACTGAAAGAGTAGTGCCACAAAACGAGGGAGATGATAATCCCTTGGATGAATGTACAATGACTTTGGTGGTGGAGGACAAACTTGCAGACGAGGAGCATTTTGGGCCTAAGAGGTCTGAACCGTGTACTGCTACTGATGAATTGCATCAGGCCGAATCAGGTATTCCTTGTCATACTATGCCAGCTCGCGTACAAGATGATGAGATGCATGAAATTATTAGTGTCGAGAAAGTGAACGATAGAAGTGTTCTGCCTTCTGAACCAAAAGCATCTAATAGTTCTTGTGCTGAAGGAAACATGCATAACAACAGAATTGATGATTCCAAGTGTGACTCTGGCCATGATAATCATGTAAATGCAATTAATACTATGTCTCATAGTGAATTTTGGCCGGAGACTGTTGCTACTGATATTGATGTTGGCATGAATCCCGATGAGGAAGAGAAAGATATGTTAAGTGATAGTGATGGACATCTTAATGATACGATAGATATTGCCATGAAAAAAAATGAATTCTTTAGTTCTCAATGTGTGGTCGATCATGATTCCTTTCCATTAGCTGACAGGAAAGAACTAACTGTTTGTGTAAAATGCAATGAAGGCGGTCAGTTGTTGTCCTGTAATATTAGTGATTGTTCCTTAGTGGTTCACGACAAGTGCTTGGGTTTTTCAGCTAGGATGAATGATGAAGGTGATTTTTGTTGTCCCTTCTGCTTCTATTCACTTGCTATATCAGAATACCTTGAAGCTAAGGAGAATGCTGCATTGGCGAAGAAAAATGTTGCTACTTTTATTCGTATTGGTTTGGAACATCAGTCTATATTTATTAAAGAGGTATTGCAACGAAAAGATCTTGGCCCTTCACGAAAAGCTGGAGTTGAGGATGTTGCTAAAATTTGTGAAGATGTGAACTTGGAAAATAAGGACAATCAAGTAACTCTAGATGGAGAACATGTAAATGAAGTTATTGACCATCAATCTCCAAAAGGTACAGATATTGAGCGAACAGCGAAGCTTTCTAAACCATTACAGATTTCCAATTCCAATCATAGAGAGAATGAAGCAAATCCTTTGAGAGTGGCACCTGACGTTTTAGCGGGAGAGAAAGATGGCGATGAATTGGTGGACCAAGAGTGTGAAGGCAATACAGTAGAAGAATTTGTGGACCAAGAGTGTGAAGGCAATACAGTAAAAGAATTGGTGGACCAAGAGTGTCAAGG